GTGGTTGCACAACTCTGTGAGTATACTAAGAACTACTGAATTGTACACTTTAAAAAGAGTAAATTTTATGGTATGTAAATTATCTCAATAAAGCTGTTATAAACAAAAAGAATTCAATAGCCAGAGTTTTTTGTTGTTGTTTTTGTTTTTGTAGATGGTTGAGAAATTTTCAGCTTTAAATCACAATCAAGTTATAAAGGTGGAACTGGGGTAGATGTATATTCTGTTATTAACTATTATTAATACTCCTTTCTTTCCCCCTGGAATGAAGGATAACTATGAGAAGACACGATAGAAATCTATTTTTCATTCTTACATGCACCATTGCTAATTTCTCATGCATCTCTGGGATTGAAGTGCATTTATAAAGGGATTTCATACCTTGTGGTAAGAGCTTTTCTAGTTTTTAGTAATGGAATGGAAGAGTTTTTAATTCTTAAAATCTCTTCTGCCTAGTCAGGTTTAAATATAACCTGCTCTACTCACTCATGCGTGCTGTTCCAAGTCACGGTTTTGCTTAAGACAAAGGCACGGGCTAGACAACTGCCGTTTAATGAGGTCTACGACATGTCAGACACGACAGTGACGTTTCCCATCCGATGCGCACAACAAACCCAGGAGGGGTGTCACCGTCACCTCTTGGAAGAGGAAGCAGCAGGCTGACGGAGGCGAATGAGCGGCCCGGAGTCACACAGCGGAAGTGGCAGAGCCCAAGAGGCCTGTGCTCTTTGCTCAGCACCAGGCACCTTCCAGAGTTCTCCGTCCCGGGCAGGTCAGAGGAGCTGCGCTTATCTTTATGACCCTTTACGGCTTTGGCGAAAGCTAAAATCGCCAGACTTTGGCTACTCGGAGAGTTCAAGGCGAGGGTGATTTTCAAAGTACAGCGTGACACTCCCCAGCCCGGAACCACACATTTTCCAAACGCATTCTCTGTGATTCCTAATTGTCCAACACTTGTCCATCAGCAATTTGTTAAGCATCCACTGTGCGCCTAGCCCTGTGTGTTGGTCATCTAAAACACAGTCATACAGAGTATTCGGGTTGGAAAACTCCGTTCCTATGCTGGAGGATGTCGAGGAGAAGGCGCCTCTTCTCGTCTCCAGCCGGAGCCCGAGCGCAGAGCGGCCCCGCCCAGGACTGCAGGGCCCTGCACACGCGTGTGCGTGTCCGCTCCGTCCCGCCGGGTGTGCTGACCTTGAGCTTCGTGGGGGCAGAGCCCGGCCCGGAGCGGGGGCTCCGTGTCAGGGATGAGTCAGCCGCGGCTCCTCCGGCGAACTCACCAGGAAATCTTGGCCCGCTGGCCGCCTCGCTCGCGCCTTCACTGCCGCATTTGTAAAACGAGGTGAGAAGAGTCCCCGATCCACAAGGCAACTCTGAGATTCCGTGAGATAACAGGGCGCTCAGTGAGCACCCAGCACGCCGCCGTTGTCGTTCCTGTTATTGTCACTATTAGGAGTGACGGGCACTTTCTTCTGTGCCAAGAGAGGCCTCCCACACCCTGTTACCTTGTGACCTGGATTTTTGATTCTCAGAGCAGAGACGAAGGCCACATGGCCCACCTGTAATGCACGGAGCTCACTCTGCTCTGCCGAGGACGTTGGTCTGAGCCCCTGAGGGTGGAACAAGCACAGTGACCCCGGGAGGGCACATCCAGGGTCCCTCCCCCTGCACGGCTTGGGCCAGCGCTGCCACGTCCCACCTCTCTCTGGGGGGTGGGCGGTGAGCTCTGTTTTGGAAATGTTAGTGTCTGCCTTGGAGGCACAGCCCCAGGACAGTGCCAGCCAGGTCCCCGCCAGGACAGCCACCACCAGCCTCTGCGCGGATGAGGTGTGTGCATGTTTGTGTGTGCATGTGTGCACACGTGTGCAGGGACCCCCAGGGACGGTTCTGTCCCATCAAGGAAAAGACTGGCTCCCACTGGGCCTACATGTCACTGTTAACCACAGGGAGCTCTGGGGCCCCTAAGACACACCCCTCAAGCCCAAAGGGAACGAGGGAAGGCAGGGCCTGGCCTTCCCGAGAACGGCCCTTGGAGTCAAGGCCTCTCTCTGGGCTGGCAGCTGATGGACTCCAGCCCTCTGACCCCCAGCTGGAACTTTGTCTGCCAATCCTGTGTCCTAAGACCAGGCCCCTGGCAGGTTTCCAGAAAGACTTCTTGGGCACAACAACTCCACAAGGGAGAAGCTAGCCCTAGAGCCAACCATGGGCAGCCATGGGGTCTAGCTACCTTGCCCTGCTGGTTGTAAGCGGGGTCCCCAAAGGCAGACAGCACCTCGCATGGGCTC